GGCGCACGGCACCGCTGTGGACTTCCGGGCCTTTTTGCTTCTGTATGAACGCCAACAATAACACGTACAATTGCGTACGGACAATCAACGCCACGCATAATTTACTTTATTGTGAATTTGTCACTGGTTTCAAGACATTTTATAATTTAAGAATTGGTAAGACATAAACTTCTAAATGCAAAATCATATGTGACTTACAGTTATCATGTTGATAATCTTCTTATAGATCCTTTCGAATTGACGAATCGTTTTGAGCAGTTACGTCCTGAAGAAAAGAGTTATCTACATGACCAATTGATGGAACTGATGGCCTGCAAAGGACGAAGTTGTACTGTTGGGTCCTTTCCGCAAAGATACAAAGTGAATGGTATGGCGCCATTTTTACCACAACCTCAACGAAGGCGTAAAGTTGAAGATTTTAACGGTAGGCACTTGAAGTAAAACAATATTGTGTATATCCTTGGGCGTAAAATTGCTTTAGCCTCTAGTTGTCTGCTTGCATCCATTAATATTCTCATTGTATTTACGTACATAACATTTTCATTTCGTATTTAACACCTTGATCATTCTCATCTTGTGGAAATACTAACTCATTGTAATTTTTGTGTGTGTAAATTAGCGGCGAGAACTCTGCCATTGTCCACTCACAGGTCCTATAATGATCGTCACAGTAGACTAATTAAGATACCAAAGTGAGTATTGTTTAGGTCAATCATCAACCATTTTATTTTAAGTGTTACTTAGTTGTATGTATCATAGGTGTTGGTATATTTAATTGAATCCTGCATGTACGTATTTATTTGTATGAATTATTATAAAGAGATTATGATTGCAGATCCTGGCGTCGTAGACAATCGCGACCCTCGTGGCGCGATCGCAGAAAACGCGACCAGCTACTTAATGGCACAAACGGTGCGGCGCAATGGTAATCGATTCATCGCAAGAACTTAACGTTGCCATCGAGACGACAACGACTGACACGACTGAACAAAAGCAATTTATTTGTGATTCTACAATTGAGGAAGTTATGATTATGTTCATATCAATGTTCATAGAGTTCTTTTTTGTTGAGGTGTACTAGCTAGGCACTAGTATTCGAACATATGAGATTACAGAATTCAATGAGTACGTTTTGGAAGTGTACAAATATCTAAATGCAACAATGCTCTGAATTAAACAAATGTACTCGTAAAATGCTTCAAGCTTTAAGTGTTTTCTAAACATTTGAATTCTCTCTATTTGTAGTGGTTATTTTGTTTTAAAATTCATATCTCAAGAAATGCTTCAGTGATAAACTTTGAAGCGTTTTGACGTGATCTCCAAGTTAACAATGTTGGTATTAATTACAATTAATTGCCCCACAAACAATAAACTTTTATTGTAACGCATTGATCATCCGGAGTACATACAGTTAATGTGATATTGTCTTGTAGTAGACGAACGTAGAATGCAATTGTGTTATCATACACAATTGAATGGTCAAATGAATTATAGTTATTCTAATTATTTTCTACTAATTTATCTTAATGTACAATTACGTATACATATAATGACTATTATGTCGATATAATTTATTTACGAACTACGAGCATCCTAAACTATAATCTTCAAATAAACATCTCTATGTTATAAGCTAGTATTATATTCCAACAAAGTTATGTCAATCAATAGTCGTGCTGTTTATAGATGTAAAGGATGTATATACTAATGGAATAGTTGGTGGTGCGATAAAATTAAGGAATCAAAAGAGGCTACACATGTTAGGGTACTTGATGATGAACTTGTGACAATGGCAAAAACATCAGATTGTGAACCAAAGAGAGTTTATTGTAAGATAATCAATTTAACATGTAAAGTGCAGATTGTAATCGATGCGTAACGACTAGCGGTAGACATGTTTAGTAATTATTAAACGCAAATACCCATAAATCAAGATGCAATGACTAAAGTATTAATTGTATGATAAGGACAGTATACTGGTGCAGAATTATAGTGCCGTTTTCGACGCTTTTATTGGCTGCTTCTGACAAATATTATATTAAATAAACCTGCTGTAAACGAAACATTCAATGATATTACTTAATTCCCAATATCCTAAACCTATATCTCTACTTAGTTTGTTTCTGTATACTTTTAATAATATATATTGCTAGACTACTATCTGCATCATTCATAGATGGCACTAGCATGAACTAAAAATCGTAAAATAGAATTGTATTGTTTATTTCTATATTTATCGGCAAACGTGAATATTCAACACGAGAATTGTGTTTGTTTTGTACACAATATACACTTTCTTATCGCATTCCAATGTATCGCCGTTGCCATCCCCTCACGCCGCACGTTGCCGCATCTTAGTTTCGTTTTTATCGCAGGTAACGTGCTAAATGCAATTCGCGCGCAAGGTCGCGTGCCGTCAACGCGCATTGCTTTTACTTTCTTATCATAAACTGTTGTTCGTTGCTTGTGGCCAGTTTCGTGCCGGTCTCTGTTGGGTCCAGACGTATACGACTGTAGCATTGTTATTGTCAGTGTGTATTGCATAAAAGGGTGACTTTTCACCCGATTTCGTGAAATGTTTGTATTTTTTCGGGATTACACGCGACCTCGGCGGTTCAGTAACTTCAGCGCGACGCCTAAAGATGCGGAATTATTAGGATTACCCATCCTACTGGCGTAAGTATCTTTTAACTTTTACATTGATTGAGTTACAGACAGTTTGTTTTTATTTTAATTTTTATATTCTGCGTTTGTGTATAAACAACTTTTTTGTGTTGCGTTGCAATCTCTTCATGCAGCATATTTTAGTTCAGTTTTGATGGCATGTATTGTGCATCGACGCGCCGGCTTTGCGCATCTCTTGCTTTCTTATCATAAACTGTCGTATCGTTGTTGTTGTTATATTTTGCACGACTTTTATAGTTTGTTCGAATTTGCATATATTTAGTACTGTCGCAAGTGGCTGTATAGTTTCTATGTGCATATGTGACAATACCTGGGGTATGTTCTTCAGTTGACTTTAATATGTAGCATGGATGGATTTGTTGTTGTTTGTTGCAAATTGTGCGCGATTTATTGCGGCGTGCGCGCAATATTACCGCGTGTTGGCGTGTGCCGCCTCTGATGCGCGATGTGTTCAGCGCAGTTTTGTGCCGATCGTTCGTTGGGTTGAACATGTTTTTCGCGGCTGTTATCTTGTGTTTTTGAGTTTGTAATTAGGAAAATCGTGTTTATTTGATTGTATTTCATTATTACTGACGTGTTTATTGTTTTATTGGAAGATAATCGGGAATCGAATATACAAAACCGTTAATTTTCTGTGCGTTTTTTGTGCGTATTGCTTGATGACCGCGTGCTATCAACTTGTTTACACTGCACGGTCGCGAGATACAGGCAGCATGAAGCCCTCTTGCAATGCTTGTTGTGATATTATTTCGTTTAATTACGGTAGATCTGTCGTGGTGTTCGGTATTTTGTTAGGGGACAATGTTCTGCGTGGAAACCGAAAAAGAACGGTAAACGGTGCATAATTTCTATATTTATCGTTTCCGTGCAGTTAAATCGACTTTGCTTACGCCGGGTTAGAACGATATCTTGTCTTGTTATGGCTGCGAACATGCTTATCTCATCTTGTCTAGTATCCCTCTACTTAAATGTGATTTAATTTTAAATTCTCAGTTGGGTTGTATTTGATTGTGTGAATTTTTCACCCTTTCTCGTGAAATGTTTGTATTTTCTCGGGTTTACGCGCGATCTAGGCGGCTCACTAACTTCAGCGTGGTGTTTAGAGATGCTGAATGAAATTCTCCATCGGGTGGTATTTGTTAGCGGTAGAAGTGACTCGATTCAGGGCACCTTACGAGTATAGCGGTAAAGTGACTGTGTTCAGGGGCAACTGTAGGAACCCACAAAAATTCGCATTAAAGGGTGAATTTTTCACTCGTACTCTCGTGTAGTTGCTCGTATTTCTTTTCGGTTTACGCGCGATCTAGGCGGCTCACTAACTTCAGCGTGTTGTTTAGAGATGCGAAATTAAATTCTCCATCGGGTGGTATTTGTTTGTTGCAGGAATTCGCCCTGCAACCCGCGAAAATTTGCATAAAAGGTTGAATTTTTCACCATTTCTCGTGAAATGTTTGTATTTTCTCGGGTTTACGCGCGATCAAGGCGGCTCACTAACTTCAGCGTGGTGTTTAGAGATGCTGAATGAAATTCTCCATCGGGTGGTATTTGTTTGTTGCAGGAATTCGGCCTGCAACCCGCGAAATTTGCATGTGCTGCGAATTTTTCACCCTTCTCGTGAAATGTTTGTATTTTTCTCGGGCTTACGATCTAGGTGGCTCACTAACTTCAGTGTGGCGCTCTGGTGATGCTGAATTAAATTCTCCATCGGGTGGTATTTGTTTCTTGCAGGAATTCGACCTGCAACCCACAAAAATTTGCATAAAAGGTGAATTTTTTACCCTTTCTCGTGAAATGTTTGAATTTTTTCGGGTTTACGCGCGACGGCTGCCTTTACCAACTTCAGCGCGGTGTTTAGAGATGCTGAATTATATTCTCCATCGGGTGGTATTTGTTAGCGGTAGAAGACTCTCATTCAGGCACCTTACGAGATAGCAAAACTGGACTCGCGTTCAGGGCACCGTAGGAACTCCACTTAGGTACCTGCATAAAAGGTTGAATTTTTCACCCTTTCTCGTGAAATGTTTGTATTTTCTCGGGTTTACGCGCGATCTAGGCGGCTCACTAACTTCAGTGTGGTGTTTAGAGATGCTGAATTAAATTCTCCATAGGGTGGTATTTGTTTGTTGCAGGAATTCCACCCGCAACCCGCGAAAATTTGCATGAAAGGGTGCGTTTGTACTTAAACGCACTTACCGGTTCAATCCATCATTTACGCGCACTTACTGCGCACTTTACAAATAACTTTTGTGATTATCTCACAAATTGACCCCCAAAATTGCATTTTTAGGTTCAAAGGACTAATTTTTCTTGTTTTAGGAATTTTCACCTGAGTCTGACATCGTAGAAGGACCATTCTAGTATCAGATTGTAAGTAGTTAATTCCTTTATCCTTTTCCTAAATAATTTTTATGGGTAACGTACAAATTGACCCCCAAAATTGCAATTTTTATGTTCGAAGGACAAATTTTTGATGGTTTTAGGGATTTTGCACCTGAGTCTGTCATCGTAGAAGGACCATTCTGGTATCAGATTGTAAGTAGTTAATTCCTTTGTCATTTTCCTTAGTAACTTTTATGATTATGGTACAAATTGACCCCCAAAATTGCATTTTTATGTTCGAAGGACTAATTTTTGATGGTTTTAGGGATTTTGCACCTGAGTCTGACATCGCAGGAGGTCCATTCTGGTATCAGATTGTATGTAGTTAATTACTTTTTCATTTTCATAAGTAACTTTTATGATTATGGTACAAATTGACCCCCAAAATTGCATTTTTATGTTCGAAGGACTAATTTTTGATGGTTTTAGGGATTTTGCACCTGAGCCTGACATCGTAGAAGGTCCATTCTGGTATCAGATTGTATGTACTTAACTACTTTTTCATTTTCCTAAGTAACTTTTATGATTATGGTACAAATTTAACTCTAAAATTCGTACTTTTTAAGTGTTCAAAGGACTAATTTTACGCGTTTTAGGGATTTTGCACTTGAGTCTGACATCCTAGGAGGACCATTTTCACATCAGATTGTAAGTATTAAATTTCTTTATCATTTTCCAAATAACTTTTGTGATTATCTCACAAATTGACCCACAAAATTGCATTTTTATGTTCGAAGGACTAATTTTTGATAGTTTTAGAGATTTTGCACCTGAGTCTGACATCGTAGGAAATAATTCATTTTTTGCATCAGATTGTAAGTATTAAATTTCTTTATCATTTTCCTAATAACTTTTGTGATTATCTCTACAAATTGACCCTAAAATTGCATTTTATGTTCGAAGGACTAATTTTGATGGTTTTAGAGATTTTCCACCTGAGTCTGACATCGTAGAAGAAGCATTTTTACATCAGATTGTAAGTATTGAATTTCTTTATCATTTTCCATAATAACTTTTGTGATTATCTCACAAATTGACCCCCAAAATTGCATTTTTATTCTCGAAGGACTAATTTTTGATGGTTTTAGAGATTTTGCACCTGAGTCTGACATCGCAGAAGAACCATTTTCACATCAGATTGTAAGTATTAAATTTCTTTATCATTTTCCTTAATAACTTTTGTGATTATCTCACAAATTGACCCCCAAAATTTCATTTTTATTCTCGAAGGACTAATTTTTGATGGTTTTAGAGATTTGCACCTGAGTTCGACATCGCATAGTTGAAACCATTTTCACATCAGATTGTAAGTATTAAATTTCTTTATCATTTTCCTTAATAACTTTTGTGATTATCTCACAAATTGACCCCCAAAATTGCATTTTTATTTTCGAAGGACTATTTTTTTATGGTTTTAGGAACTTTGCACCTGAGTGATATCGTAGAAGGACCATTTTCGCATCAGATTGTAAGTATTAAATTTCTTTATCATTTTCCTTAATAACTTTTGTGATTATCTCACAAATTGACCAAATTGCATTTTATTTTCGAAGACTATTTTTTATGGTTTTAGGAACTTTAAAATTTGAGTGATATCGTAGAAGGACCATTTTCGCATCAGATTGTAAGTATTAAATTTCTTTTATCATTTTCCTTAATAACTTTTGTGATTATCTCTCACAAATTGACCCTCAAATTGTATTTATATGTTCGAAGGACTAATTTCTTGCTTTGTTTTAGGGATTTGCACTGGAGTCTGACATCGTAGAAGCGACCATTCTGCACTAGTAATTACTTTTAGACATTTTGTGATTGCCTCCCACAAAATTGCATTTTTGGCGTTCGAAGGACTAATTTTGCTTGTTTTAGGGATTTTGCACCTGAGTCTGACATCGTAGAAGGACCATTCTCCTGGTGCCGATTGTAAGTACTAATTTCTTTTATCATTTTCCATAATAACTTTGTGATTATCTCGCCAAATTGACCCCCAAAAGTTGCATTTTATGTTCGAAGGACTAATTTTTTTGATGGTTTTAGGATTTGCACCTGAGTTCGGATATCGTAGAAGGACCATTCTGGTATCAGGATTGTAAGTAATTAATTTCCTTTTAATAGCTTTCCTTATAATAACTTTTGTGATTATCTCACAAATTGACCCCCTCAAAATTGCATTTTTATGTTCGAAGGACTACCTTTTGATGGTTTTAGGATTTTGCACCTGAGTCTTCGACATCGTAGAAGGACCATTTATCAGATTGTGTAATAATTTCTTTATCATTTTCCATAATAACTTTTGTGTTCAACAAATTGACCCCCAAAATTTACTATGTTCGAAGGACTAATTTTTGTTTGTTTTAGGATTTTGCACCTGAGTCTGACATCGAAGAATAACTATTCCTGTAACAGATTGTTAGCAAGTATTGTAAATTATCTTAAATGTAATCCCTTTTGTAATTATTACACAAATTGTCTCCTAAATATTTATGCTTGTGTGTTTTCTTTAATAAAGAATATTTTTAAATTTTTCTAATTAAAAATTATTTCTGTTATTTCTACCTGATCACATATTTAACGATTTCTTGAACCATTTATTTTAAAAAAGTGCATGCTAGTGCCATCTGTCAATTAGAAAACTACAACAACCGAAAGTGTTGAGCTTCGGGTCCACGTTACTAGAGGGTAAAGAATCTTTACTAGTTACCGCGAAACTTTTTATCAGTTTCCTCGAACTTTCAAGGGATCCTAATATTCCATCTTTATTTTGTCACTCTGGAGGCAAATCACACAAAATTTGACTCGAAACAGTCGAAACTCAGGATTTGGTATTCGATCGCAGAAAGGGTGAGGAGGTATGTCAATGAAAAAGAGGCGGTAAATCAGTAGAATGGTGGTAAATGAATTTTTAAAAATCTTTATTCAGCAAATTGATTTTCAAAATTCTGAAGGATCTCGACAACTAAGAGGGCTAGAAAAATTAAGAACTACATAATATTGATCCTTGAAAAATTTCTACAAGGTGGCATCATTATTAAAAATTAATAAAATGACACAAAAAAATTTAAAGAAAAGATTTTGTTATAAAAAGGCAAAGATTTCTTTTATGATGAAAATTAAAAGTTGAATTTTTGAATTCTGTTTTCGAATTGTGATAGACAATTTAATTCTTACATCAATTAGTTTGGTATTTTTTTGCTAGCATTAACTGCTTAGGCCCTCTATTTGCAATTTCATAAAAAAATTGAATATAAAATTTGAAACAAACTGAAATAATATATATATAATAATTTGTTAAACTGCTACAACCACTTTTCTGCGTTCCTACTACTACAGACTGATGAACAGCAACATTTCAGTAAATTTTCGACAAATTTTGTTGAGAAATCCATTGAAAATGGTAACAAAAATCTTTGAATATTAGGATCGCAGAAAGTGCAGGGTGGCTGAATCTCTCCAGCAATCTTAGAATAGCGACGTAGCTTAGTTACTCGTGGATAGATGACACTAGTGATACTGTTTTTAAAATAAATATTAGCTATAAAACTGATTTTTGAACTATTTCTCATATCTAGCAGTGGCATTTCCATTAAAGTTTAAGGGTTTTATGGATTAATTAAAGGAGTAACGATGCTGTGTTATGTTCTCCGTTTGGAAACAAATAAAACAATAAAAATTTATAGTTAAAAGTATAAAACAACAATTTTATTCGAACATGTAGAATATACACCTATCAGTAACTCAATTCTCAATATATACATGTAATTATACAATGCTCTTTTTACACTTTAACATAATAAACAAAAATGAAATCAATAACAGCTAAAAGCCAAGCAGTAAATTCACATTAAATCGTTTTAAATCATTATTAACACCGGCAATCCAATCTTCAATTCCTGACTCCTATAAATCAGAATGAATAACAGGATAATAAATATAAAATATTATAAATTGCATAAATATAACATACGTTCTGCGTATTTTAGTCCAGTTGACACATCAATCTTCAGTAAAACAAAACATCATCCCTCAATACGCACCCACTTCGCCAGTACCGCGAAACCTCTCCAGCGTTCAAGTTCCCAGTTCCCATTCAAGGCACCGTACGAAGGTAGCGGTAGAAGGTGTAACTTAGGCACCGTAAAAGGGTGGTAGCGTTAACGTTTACGTCAATGAAGGAAACTCATCGGACTACATCGACTACGGCGAATACCGTAAAAAACATAAGTTAAAACAACTTCGTATGTAAGTATGCATACAAAACACGAAAAGCATCACCACTTTTGATCAATAATAATGTACATTAAAACGCGGCAATAGTAAATAAATAATACTATATTTGCGAATTCGAATGATTGAATAATCAACTGCTGGATCGAATAAAAAATTTAGCCATTTTTACATTTGGCATGGTACATATATGCGATCTAAACTATATTAAATGTGTGCTGCATGCGGCAAATGGCAAATTGCGCGTGAGAGTGATGATGCAAGGACAACAAGGGAAAATCTCTAATTTTTCCTTTAATTTGTTCAAAAATTAAACGCGATTAAAAAAGTGACAAAAAATTTTAAACTAGGAAAATTTTCTTATAAATGAGATAATTAAATTGAAAATTTAAGAGATAAAAATTTTAATTCATAGGAATAAATAGGCAGGGGTGGGAGACACACAACTTTAATATATAACCCGGGTTACGGCATCTTCACGCAATCACTTCAACACAGGAAGATAAGATAAATTCCGCATCTGAAAATTAATTCAAACTACTCATGAAACCGTTCGCCAGTTATGAACAAAAAAAAAAACTACAATTCCTAGCGAGACGCGTACTACGGCGTAAACACAACTTTCACTATAACCTGCGTTACGGAATCTTTGTAGCAAAAACATTTGATACTGAGAGATGCAAAATTAAATTCTGCATCTGGGAAAATTAATCCGAACCAATTATGACACCGCGTTCGCCAGTTATAACAAAAACTAAAATTCCTAGCGCGACGCGTACCAATACGGCGCAAACACAACTTTCACTATAACGTTACGGAATTTTCTAGGAAAACATTTTTATACAGGAGATGCAAAAACCACCCCTGCATCTGGGAAAATTAATCCGAACCAATTATGACACCGCGTTCGCCAGTTATAACAAAACTGGCTACCTCTAGCGACGCGCGCTCAATGGCGTAAACACAACTTTGTACTATAACTCGCGTTACGGAATTTTCAAGCAAAACATTTTATACAGGAGATGCAAAATTAAATTCTGCATCCGGGAAAAAATTAACTGAACCACCATGACACCGCGTTCGCGCCGCTATAACAAAAACTACACCCTTAAAGCGCGACGCGTACTACGGCGCAAACACAACTTTCACTATAACCTCGCGTTACGGAATTTTGTAGCAAAACATTTTATACCGGGAGATGCAAAATTAAATTCTGCGTCTGGGAAAATTTTCGCTATTAATCCGAACCAATTATGACACCGCGTTCGCCAGTTATAACAAAAAAAAATCCAATTCCTAGCGCGACGCGTACTACGGCGCAAACACAACTTTACTATAACTCGCGTTACGGAATTTTCTAGCAAAAATCATTTTTATACAGGAGATGCAAAATTACCCTGCGACCTGGGAAAATTAATCCGAACCAATTATGACACCGCGTTCGCCAGTTATAACAAAAAACTACACCCTAGAGCGACGCGTACTACGGCGCAAACAATAACTTTCACTATAACTCGCGTTACGGAATTTCTTAGGAAAACATTTTATACAGGGATGCAAAATTAAATTCTGCATCCGGGAAAATTAATCCGAACCACCATGACACCGCGTTCGCCAGTTATAACAAAAACTAAATTCTAGCGCCACGCGTACCACGGCGCAAACACAACTTTACTATAACCTCGCGTTACGGAATTTCTAGCAAAACATTTTTATACAGGAGATGCAAAATTCAAATTCTGCATCCGGGAAAATAAACTGAACCAATTATGACACCGCGTTCGCCAGTTGCAACAAAAACTACATTTCCTAGCGCGACGCGTGCAATACGGCGCAAAACACCGGGCCAATTATAACTCGCGTTACGGAATTTTCTAGCAAAATATTATTATACAGGAGATGCAAAATTAAATTCTGCATCCGGTGCACTTAATCCGAACCAATTATGACACCGCGTTCGCCGCCAAAGCCATAACAAAAACTAAAAATTCTAGCGCGACGCGTACTACGTGGCAAATAATAACTTTTATTATAACTCGCGCGGAATTTCAAAAGCAAAACATTTTATATTGGTGGAGATGCAAATTAAATTCTGCATCTGGGAAAATTAACTGGGAACCACTATGACACCGCGCGTTCGCCAGTTATACCAAAAAACTACAATTCTAGCGCGACGCGTACTACGGCGCAAACACAAATTTTACTATAACTCGCGTTACAGAATTCTAGCAAAAAATAT